TCTCCAGGTCGCCGCGGTCGTCCGCGCCGGCGTATCGGTGGGTGGGCGTCCCGGTGTTCCTCACGCACACGCATCGCGTGCCTCCTCCGGGCGTGTCCACCTTCCGTGGGACTCCCGCCCAGTCTCGAACGATGCCTCCGCTGTGAAATGAGTATTTCGGTTCAATGTTTTTGTGAGGGAGTCCATGCGAAACTTTTTAGGCTTTTTAACTGCAAAAGACGAGTGACCTCGATCGTGGAACGTCGCAAGTCATCCAGTCAAATATACCAAAGATATTATATGAGAAATGGAATCATTCTAGGAAAGTGTCTAGTGAATAATTAGTGAGGTAGTGCGGGAACTTTCTTTCATCGTGTAAAAATAATGACACAAAGGTTCAGCGGGAGGTCTGTAGGGGAAATAGTATTTAGAGAGAAAAATGAAAAATGTGAGAACAATTGAATGGAAATCATGAAACAATTTCCGTCGTTCCTGAATAGGTTTGACGCTGTCACCGACGAAACTGCTGTGCTTCGACTCATGGCGATTGGCCGTTCACTGAAAAGGTATACGTTCCGGGATGAACCATGTCACCTGCAAGTGGGGACTTCCTCAGAATGGTCACAACCATGCATTGAAAAAAAAAGAAGGTAAGGTGCCTGAATTCCAGTATTCCGAGTTCCCCTCAAAAGCATCGGCACGAGCCAACATTGAACGTGGAAAGCATCTGAAAGCTAAATGATACCTCCTCCGGTCGCACCATACCCGGGGCGGCTGCCCCTGCTTCCACTCGGAGTGACACGGGGGGAAGGCTCGCGCGTCCTGCAGCTCCTCCGCTGCTTTCGCCTCTCGAATCCACCGCTCCACCTGCTTCCCGTAAGCAGTCATCTTCCCCCTCTCGTCGAAGTACCTGCCCATCACCTTTCCTGTGCGTGCGAGAAAATTGCGATCATGCAATTTTCGGTGTTGGTGGTTCATGAGCAATTAAATGAAACGAAGCAATTGCTACCTCATAAATGCACGTGTCGTCCTATCTCATGTCATCACAAGCTGGGTTGCCCGGGATATTTTTTAGGAGTAATATATAGGTTGGGTGGTGTGGTAGTGATGAGTCAAATACTGACCCTGGCCAAACAGTACCTGACGTGTGGCTTCTTGAAGTCAGTTGTAGACTACTAGAAGTGTCTTGGCTTTGTTAAAGGGGGCCTTATAGAACTTACCAACTTCACTGTGGATGCAAGTGAAATTGGTAAGTAAAGGCCAGGGCAGTTTTACTATTGTTAGTTAGCTAAGATGAACCAATTTTATTGCACGGCCGGACTTTTATTGCACCAAACGGGTTCTAGGAACGCGTAGAACCCCAATCCGTTGTCCCTGTCTCCCTAGCTGGCCTGGAACACCCTTTTTGGTACCCCAAGACCCCCCCGGAGCTGCCCTCTTGACCCCGACCCCCCTATGACCTGCTACTGGACAGACCCCACCCTCCTGCGAAGGTTTCAGGTCGATATCTCCAACGGTGCCCCAATGCATAGCGTCAAATGGACAGAGACAGACAGAGATCCTTGGTTATAGAGATAGATTGCGGCTGGTTTCACACCGTCCTCGTGATCTCTCACAGGTTAAAATCTATTCTAATATATTGACAATCGTGACTGACTGACGCTAGTACTAACCATGTTCTAGAAAGGTTAGAAATCTGAAACTTGGTACATATATACCTTTTGGGATGCAGAGTTCAGAAAATATCCGACTTTGAAGGTACATAAGGTGGGGGTACACATTTTTGGGAAAGTTTTTTTTAAAATATATATTATGACGTATGAGGATGGGATTCAGAGGGCCCAATATATATGGCTTTTTTTTGGCTTCCATCTCCCGTTACTCATTCCCCTCTATAACATTATTCTTGCCTGAGCTAAAGGGAGAGACATAGAAACCTGAAACCTGGCATGGAATTGCCAACCGAGACGATGAGTTCAGGAAAAATCCAAAATTTTAGATTCATGCCCTGGGGGGATATTTTTTTTGGCGCTGACGTTTTCAAGTATTTTTTTTTGTCATCCTGGTGTATTGAGCTAGTGTGGAAAGATGAACTTGGTCCATAATTACCTATTGGGATGTAGCAGAATAATTCAGACTTTGGAAGTAAATGCAAAAGGTCCAAAAGGTGCATTTTTTTGCAAAAGGTGCATTTTTTTTGTAAAAGGTGCATTTTCCGGCAACCTGATTCAATGTAGAGGAGTAAAGAAAGTAAAACTTGGACAGAAGTCCTTGTTCGATTGCTGAGTCCTGCTTTTCAAATTTAACCCATCAGGGCAGATTATTCCGATGAAAATATCGGTTTGTTCCCTCTTGAAACACATTCCGATGGACACATACTTTTCATAGGTTTTTGCCACTTTCAAAATAAATTATTGATTGAACCACTATCCTGGTAATGGAGCGCTGAAGGCGCGATTGTATCGAGTTTGTTTCTAGTATTCGATATCTTTGGCCACACCACAGAGTCTAACTCTTTGAGGTGAACAAAGTCAGGCGTCCAACACCTAAAATGTCAAATGCGTCGTTGGAAATTATTGGACTGGTTCGATACTTTGGTTGTTGGAAGCATTTTCTAACCACCCCGAATCGTAAGAAATCCTGAAGAAACATGCTTCGTAAATGACGGTAATAAAAAAGCTTCATTTTTGCTGGGCACCTGCGTAGAAAGTGATAACTATAGGAAATGTGAAATCAACATCTTTAAAAAAAACATGCAGCTGCTTCCATTCATGCAGGGAAAACTTTTGTTTGTTTTTTTCTCGCTGTAGATCGATGGCACTCACATGAATGAACTCAGTTCATGAAGAAGCGGAAAGCAGATACTCACCGACGTATTTATATTTGCTGTCGTAGAAGTCGGCCTGCTCGTCGAGAGCCCGGTAGTCTTCGTCCGTGAGGCCGGACACCTCGTCCGTGAGGCCGCCGTCGGAGAAGTCTCCGGTCAGGAACGCCCGGGACGCGTCACGCCCTGAGGGAAACGCAAACCTGCAGGCACTTTTGGTTCGGACGTGGATCTCGTTGGTTCCGAGAAGATTTCAGGATTTGGAATTAGTTTCGCTTTGAGACGGTTCTCTTTTTGTCAAAGGAGAACAAATTAATGAGAAAATGAAAATCTGCAAGGCATTGTGACACAATGTCTTATGATTCCACCGCACGAAATGCTGTAAACATTCCAACGGGGTAGAAAAAGCTAGTGCCCTAGAAATTGGCGAAACGAAAAAATGTAGCTCCACCGACCAGTGAAGGGCTCGTAGAAGCCGCCTTTGCCATAATAATTGCGGGCGGAAGAGACGTCATAAACCCGTCCGAGAATGGCCAGATAGAGCTCCCTCTTCTTCCTTCCGTTGTACTTCGCCAGCTCCTCCGGGGCGAACAGGAGATCTCTGAGGGAGCCGTCCCCGCGCTCTCCATCCGCCCACTGCCGCCCCCGTCCAGCCCGCGGCGGCCCCTCCGGCGACTTCTCCCACATCTCTTCGCCCCCTGCCCAGAACCTGCAAGAAAGTCACTTGATGTGACACGAGGCACCGAGGCGACCACATGACAATAATTATTCGGTCGGTTGCGACAAACCGCGCGCCACCTGCGTGCTGCAAACCAGATATTGGTACAGCGTATACGATGAAGTGCATCAGTAAAAACTTCTCATTGGGTTGGTTATGAGACATAGCCACAACCTACGTCATCTCTTTGCTTCACATATTCCACTTAACCAGTAGAATGTGTTGTCCAAAAATATAAATGGCCGTATTCGTGATTTGTTTGTTACGATACTACGCCATAAGTTACAGGAGGCCAATATTTATATTGACAGTTTTGGCCCTCACAAGCCCGTCAAACCACGACATTTGAAATCTGGAAGTGCGTTCATATTCGTAGCATTTAATAGAACATATTATGGCTACACATGGATTTAATCGATTTATAAATGGATGTATCTCATGAATTCATTTCGGTTATCTGTGAGGAATTCTAGCGGTCGCGAGTGAAGCTCTCCATGAAGGAGATTCAAGTGAAACGAATCCCGTTGTAGGTCCCCCTGCATGAGGTAGCACAGACTAGAGAGTAAAAAACTGGACGAAACGATGAACAGCTACAAATGAAACCTTATCTAATCGCCTTTCTGCATTCCTTTCTCTAAACGAAAACTCTCAATCTCACTTCGAAGCAACCATCTGCAGTGACTGATCCACCTGGTATCGTCACTATACTTTCACCAGCTGGTATAATCACATGGGAAAAGGTGAGGTTAAACACCCGATGTATCCAAACTGAACGAAAACCGATTCCTCTCACAATCGTCACAATTCGCAGCTGGCACAGGCCCATTTGAATGTGGCATCATCATTCAATGAGTCGGATAGAACCAAAATGAATAATGTTCCCTGGCGGCCTGACCTGGCGAGTTGCCCCATGCCGGGGATGCGATAGAGGACGGCCAAGTACGAAGGGTCCTCCTTGTGGAGGTAGATGGCGACGCCCAACAGGACGGGGATGGCCATGGCGATCCGCTTCCCGACGGCCCCGCACGCTTCCATTCCCGACAGCTTCTATGGTCGCGCAATGCCTGAGAGAAAACCTTAAGTCGTTCGTTATTTCGTGTGCGGGGTGTCAACATTTCATGGAGGTGACGAGTTCTTCACATGATGAAATTCAGTTTTGCGTTTTGTCGTCTATTTAGGGTTAGAGCCTGAACTGCTTATGGAATGCCATGGCTAAAATAGCATTAATCGTGTTTCAAATGCAAAATTAATTGTCCAGAGTTCCACTGAAGTCGCCAGCTGCAAGTGAATGGAACAACACTGTATACGAAATTAATATTTTCATCCGCGGATGTTTCGATACTGAAGTTGAGCGAGGGCAAACGGCAATTTTGCAATTAACAGTAACTGGGGATGAGTACCAAAATGAATATCGATATTTGAACCTCTTCTTCCGTGCCCCACAATAATCTTTCCAATATTCAGCTAATATCCGTCCTAAAGAACGTCTGCAACATTCCAATACACTTCTTTAAGAGAGCAGGTATTGTTCTTCCCATGTCGTCATGCCACCATCGGTGACAGCCTGGGTCGTGGTTTCCCCTGCATCGATAGAGGTACTTTATATGGGGGATGAAGGGGGGGAAGGGGGGGGGGTGAGGGGGGAAGGGAGAGGTTTTCTTCCCCTCTTAACTTCGAAGACCGTGCGGCCATGCAGGTCATGTTTCCTGTTAACGAGATAAGGATGAGGCGGTTTTTTAATGGTTATCTTGTTGACTCACAGAGAACTGCAGCGTGAAGGCACCCTCGCATTCTATTGTTAACTGCATCGCTTACACATGCAGGCCCGACCGCATTAACTTGATGATCTCCCAGAATGCTCCCTGAAGCCGTACTCCGGATCGGAGGAGTGTTCTTCACTAATTGCCGAACACTGTTGGAAAAGTAGCATCGTCCAGATGGTTGAGAGCACGAAGGCTAGTCTGCTCGGCCATCGTCAACTTTTTAATACGATAGTTTTGGTGACGAATCTGCAACATTTAATTTCGCTGGAGTAGGTCGAGGCTAGGATCCATCCCAACACTTCACTTCTAGAACGACCGGTTGGCCGTTCGTATGGGATGTAATGCCAAGGTCTTCCAACGTGTCATCCTTTAAATTCAGGCAGGTGTACACATCGGTGCCATCCCGAAACAAAACTCTGGTTTCCCTAGACGCAGGGCCGTTGAATAAGTTCCGCATCTCGAACTCCAACTGGGCGACGGTCGTGTGCCAGCTAAATTTGTGGATCACATTCTTCTCGAGGTCGCCGTATTCTCAAAGTGTAAACTTTACAGATAAACATCCACCTAGCCAGTTTTCACGTACATACCCTGCTCGATGACCTGGCGTGGGATCGGCTGCCGATTCGGGACCAGACCGTACCATTCGACCAGCATCATCCAGACATCCTTGAGCACCATCACAAAGTCCAGGTCCTCAATTAAACGCTCGCGTAGTTCTTCTCCGTCTTCTTCGACTAGCAGGCTGGAGTTATCGATGGGGCCAGGATGTTCCGTGGAGCGTTCCGCATTCATCTCGGTACTCCAGGTGCTCAGACCGGTGTAAGATTTGAAGTTCTTGAACCATTTGTTGTCGAGGAGATATCATGTATTTCCTTTAATTAGGCTCTTGGACAGAATGGGCTTGGTTTTCTCCCGCTGCTGCTCCGCACTGGCAGACGTGATGGATTTGGACGGCAGCGAACGATGGGCATAAAATCCCTTCCGCTTCTGATCTGAACTCACAGGAGTGATGGGTGTGGACGGCATCTTCAAACGTTGGATCCCTCCGGACCTCCTAGGACGATGCGAGGAGAAATTAACACCAGATTGCTCAACGGACACCTTGGTCACTGTTCGGGTTGGATAAGCAGTCGAACAAGTGCGGATGTGCGTGGAGGAGGACTGCGCCCGGCGTCGATTGGTTTTCAACAGGAATAGTTTCCGTCTTCTTCAGATAAGCCTTATCAGAGGGACGTCCTATCAGGCTGCACGGCATGCATGTGAATGTGAACTGGTTGAAAAATGCATGAATTGCAGCGAGAAACTGCGTTCTAAAAAGACTATTAAAAGGGATATTGAAAAAAAAGAGAGGAGAGAACAATTAATACATCGTTTGGAGGTGCCGTGAATAGAAAAATTCATTAGATATGTGATAAAATTGCCTCAGGATTGCATGCGGAACCTATCGCACTTCCCCAAAGCTATGGAGAAACAGTTCTAATCTCTCTTGGGATGAAAGACCTCACGGCTGAAGTGCACATAGTGAAGAGCAACATAGCAAAATATACATATTTTGTTTCGACGTGATTTTATATCAGGTAGAGATTCGGAAGGTAATTCTTAAAGCAGGCCGGCAGTACCTGGGAAATGCTGACTAGCTTCGTTTGTTTTGGAGCAATGGCACCAATAAGATTTACTAAATTTTTAAAATTAGAATTCGAAACAGAAGGTTCAATCTTTGGAATCAACCAGCGCAAATCATTTTAATATATTTCCCCCATTTTGGTGATTGGCGAACGTGCACCTTCGCGCTTTTCCTCTGGTTTTCAAGCACGTTATTGCACAATTACCAGCAGATGAAGCCCAATGTCATCTGCGGTCACGTGGGCCCAGTGGCATCGAAGACATTCCAGATTTTCCAGCACTCTATCCGAAGAGACTTAGCGAAGAATTGGAGAGGATGTTGCCTCAACAGAGTCGGAAGGGTGAGGCTGAAGGGCTAGAGATGCATGAGGATCAACATTTATTCTCACACTCCGATTACGGCTTATGTTGATTTTTATATCCAAGCTGAATCCGCCCTCTTCTCCCGTTTGTTGTGGCAAGGTGTGAAATTAATGAAAGAGTCATTCTCAATCATTGCACTTGCTATTTTAAACGCATTCCAATAAGGAAAAACAGACAAACTTCGATAAATAAATATATAATGGAAAAGTACAAAAAAGTACAAAAAGCTAAGCTAATCAAAAGACTCATTGCAAGTTTCAGGTGAGACCACAAGAGAGTCGCCAACGATACACACATTGGAGTATCAAATTCCGCATGGATTTGATGATATGAAGTGGTTGGGGACCCCTCGAAATGAAAGCGGGCAAATGCATTTGAGAGAGATTTGAACGACTTTCATCAAATAGTGAACGAAGATCGCATAATTGGATCTTTGGTCCCCATTTTCTATAAGATTGAACCACTGGAATTCGCACTCTTCCATCCAATCATTCAAATCGCACTCCAGTTCGTTGCCTTCGCTTCCACCGACAGCTTGGAAGAACTCGTAAACTGCCAAATTGAGTGGAAAACACGAATCAATGATGTAATTGCGGGTCTCCTCGTCCCCCGGATATACTTCTTCCAATCCGGTCTCGATGACTTTCAGCGTCCACAGGTACTCGTGAAGGACGCGGTAGACGTCCCGTTCGCCGGGGCATCGAACCATTTGTTCGTCGAGAACGAGTTTGGTGATATTTTCAAGGCACCCCAGAGGTTTAACGTGCTGCAGGTCCTCCCAATCCACGTCACTGGCATTGAGGAATTCGCGGAAACCTGTTTCGAGGTGGTTCTTGGAAAGCGAGAGTTGCGAGCATACTCCTTCCAATCCGGAACTCTCCTTTCTATCCATAATCCCAAAGTGATCTATGAAAGGAGCAAAAAACTTGCTATTTCGACGTTAGCGAGGAATGTGGCGTTAATGCATTGATTTACGTATCCATTTCCTTTTAATGAAACTGATGCAATGCCTAGGGACGAGGAACTACAAAAGAAGCCTCTTCAACGTTGAAGATAATTGGTAATTGGGAAGCTTCATGCTCACATCGAGTTAAAGGTTATCTAAGCATTGTAGCATCATATAAATTATATATTTTTTAATTTACTCATTTTTTTTTATATTCCGATTAATAAGAATGTATCGTTGAGAACTATTTCCTATTAACATATGGAATCAAATCATGGATTCATGGGATCTTAAAGGGTGAAACGCATATCAACTTGTATCCGAGTATTTAAAAAACTCAACCAATTAGCGACGACAGAGAATGGTGCATATGACTTTGGCATCACTGAAATAAGAGCGACAACGAAGGCCTTCATATTTTCCGGAATGCTAACTATGGAACGTAAAACGAATATCGTCATGAAGTTTGCAGAAAATCGCATGCATTCAGGACCTGAAGACGAGACCAACGCGAAACATGTATTTGAAAATGAAGCAACCCACCTTGCTTGTAGTCGAGACATTCGTTGGTGCAAAATTCGAAGTCTAGCTTGATGTATCTGCCTTGGAGGACGAGAGGAAAGGCGTTGAGGATAATGAGAGTTCGTGCGAGTGCCTCCATATCTTCTCTTTCTTCCGAAGCTCAGTCTCCTTGATGTATATAGCAGAGATTTAGCTTTTTGTGGCCCCATGCCTCCCGTATATATATGTCTCGCTTTCAAACCTTTGCGGTGCACTGCATACTTTTGCGTGGAGGACGCGAGGAGGTTTTCAATCTGATGTCATACCACTTGAAATTCAAGTTGAGGGCGGAGTGCCCATGTGTGACTTTTTCAGATAAAATTGTTTCCACCATTGTATAATGAAAACGTATGCTGGACTTGACGAATTTGCCTTGAGATGCTCCGACTGATGAAAAATACGTTCACTTAAAAAAAAAACTAGTCAATAATGCAAGAGATAGATACGTGATTTAAACATACCAAGGGCTTTAGATGAAATCATAAATATTACACTCAAAAACCCATTTCCCAGTCGCGCATCTCCCAATCGCATTATTTTCACGAGTGCAAAAAATGGGTCGGCGATCTGTATTACAACATATTGGAGTGAAATGAAACGTGTATTTTGGAAGGGTGGTGTGAGGATAGATTAAAGGTATCATCGATATTCCTCTCGACGTCTGACCAGTCTCATTCTTATCTTTCAAGGCCGATTGGATCAATCAACTTGGAATGGAATGGAAAAATAAACTGACCTTGGTGAAATTAAGAGTTCTTTATAGTGAATGCAATTATTGAATACTTCCCCCCACAGACGTCCACGTAGTCTTGAAGTACTTTGACTAAAGTCCCTTTCAACATTCTGGACAGAGATTTTTATGCAATTAGTTCGGTTTGGATGCATAACAGGCACAAACGAATAAAGTTATATTTTCTATCTATTCGTGATAACTGTACAACCATCGCTTAATGAGGCGCGGATTATCTCATCTGGGTTTCGTTTAAAACTCATGATAATGAATTTATTTTGTAAGCAATTTTCCTTAGACACTATTGAGGTAATAAACTGATTACTAATGGTTTTCAAATTTTCTTTCGTCTGAATAAATAAAAAAGAAACTTAAAATATGGCTAACATTAAATCATTCTCACAATCCACATGTCTAAAATTATGATGGAATTAGGTAGAGGTACCAAACATGACCATCAAATGTCCCGTTTAAAATTTAGGTTATCGGTACTTTTCATTTGCATCATATTTCAGGCTTGATGCTGACGTCACGCGGGAAAATCCTTGTTGTTATCTTTGTGCAAGCCTTGCAAATTCCCACTCGAGATTCCACCCACTCGTTACGAGAAAACTCATGGGCTGTGCGGTCCCGGGGTAGGAAAGGAAATGGACACTCTAGGTGTATTATGATCGTTGTAAATGTTAGAAATTACGAGGAAGGGCATTACTATTGCTCAGTTGCTTCCCTAGGAAAAAGATTCAATTCAAGAAGGGTTGATATTTTCTGAAGGAATTTTCTGTAATCATTCGTCAATTCCGCAGTGTAGTGTTGTGTCTCCTTTTCTGTTCCTCGTGTACATGAAAAATACCTCTAGGAGCAGAGAAGGCACGGTTGGGGGCAACAGATATGATGTCAGGGTCGGGGTACTCCGTTTTCCCGTCGATGCTGTGTTTTTGACCTGTTCTCTGCAGAAGCGCCAAAGAGTGCTTGATCCGTTGAAATCCGAATGAACTGCGACCGCAAACTGGGTCTTTCTTGAACATATATCATGGTCTTCTTAATGAATCCTAGACAGTGCACTCTGCATATTATTGGGGTCGGATGCGCTATTATGCGGAACTCAGCCATCCGCAAGACCCATCACATCGAGATGCAGCATCTTAGAATTGCAAGGTACCGTGTTATCTGGCTTGAACACAGGAATAAAAAGTTCCAGAGTATTTCAAGCTCCAATGTGTGCTTAAAAGGTCAAATTGTGTTCCTGTGAAAAAGAAGCATCTAACTTTAGTCAGCATATTCAAGGATGAGGTTTGAGGGCTAGAAAGTTCCTGGGAATGTTAACGGAAGGACAAGTACGGAAGGGAACCAGTTCCTTCGATCCCGTGAGGCTGAGCATGGCACAGACGCCTCGATTAATCCATAGAGGGTCCGTGGACTCTTGTGCCTTCGCTCGTTCGTGACCACCAAGCAATTCGGCCGCTTGGTCAAAATAATCATTAGTTACTCAACTCATACTCATGGATAATATACATTAGCAACATGTTTCAGTCAACGTGGCGAGTTTACACTTTGTGGTCATCATTTTTATCTTTGTGCCATCCCACTCGAGATTCTAACCCCATTTGAGAGAACGAGAGGGGATTCCAGGTTCTGCAGCATAGTTTCCGTAAAAAAAACTTGGTGTCAGAATATTAAGGTCCCCGATAGTTCGCGCGTCCACGTTGCAAGGATGGACCGCTGTGAAACAAACGGCCATAGTAACGCAGGCCCAACCACTTCAGAGAGGCTTCCTTTGACCGTCACCAAGACAAACCAAACCCCATTGATGTCTTATCCAGAGTATTCCATGCAGGCTGTTCATCGCCCAGGGTGATGAGGACTGTAATACTCACTGTGCTCCCATATACGTGAGTGCTTGAACTGCGTTCGTGTGAGTGGGAGTAGTTGACAGTGTTTTCTGTTATGT